CTCAGGTTTAGAGTGCGAGAGCCACGTTCAGAAAGCTGGATTGACAGTTAGAACAATTAATCAATGGAACAACTTGCCTCCAGAAGTTGTGAATGCTCCAGCACTGGAAGTTTTAAAGAAGAGATTTAACAACTATTTGTCTGAAGTGGTGTAGGGTTTCTGCCTGAGCAGGAAATTAAACTAGAAGACCTCCAAGGTCCCTTCCAACTTTGCTATTCTGTTTTATTTCTGTTTTCTATGTGTGTGTTTGTGTAGACAAAGTGAATCACTGCAGTGGTTAAGTTAGTAAGCCAGTTGTTAAATGAATGTGGCTTCCCCATTGCCTTTGCTTGTCAGCAGGTTGCAAAGGTGATCCCAAGACACTGCAGCCATCATAAATATGAGTCGGTTGTCCAGCACCTGAATTTGAATCACATGACCATGGGGATGCTGCAACGGTCATAAGTGTGAAATACTTCTTTTCAGTGCTGCCGTAACTTTGAACAGTCACTAAATGAATTGCTCCTAAGTCGAGGAATACTGGCATTTCTCAACCTTGGCAATTTTAAGAGGTGTGGATTCAGCTCTCAGAAATCATGGTGCTAGAGCTTAGTGTGGAATTCTCCATGGTCAGCCTCAAGGTGCACAAAAGCCATGGGGATGTGCTCGGGAACAGGGGGAAATAGAGGCAGGACTGTAACCACCAGAACCCAGCAACCAATTTCATGCAGAGGTAATTTTCTGCAGACAGGAATATGTGTGAAGAGTACTCAGTCCTCAGGCAAAGAAGATATCTTTACTTACTAGGGATGCTGTTAAAGGCTGAACTACCAAATCATTAATCCAAAGCCACATTTTTCATACTCCATGGGTTGATGCTGCCGGGCACTGCCCACGTTGCCATGCCTTGGTAGTCCAAGTGGGACTTCCCAGCACACTTCCTTTGCATGCATTGACCGATATGTCAACGAATGGAATGGAATTGGGAATGGAATAGGAATGGGATGGGATGGGATGGAATAGGAATGGAAATAGGAATGGAAATAGGAATGGAAATAGGAATGGAATAGGAATGGGAATAGAATAGGAATGGGAATAGAATAGGAATGGAAATGGGAATAGAATAGGAATGGGAATGGGAATAGGAATGGAAATGGGAATAGAATAGGAATGGGAATGGGAATAGAATAGGAATGGAAATGGGAATAGAATAGGAATGGGAATGGGAATAGGAATGGAAATGGGAATAGAATAGGAATAGGAATGGGAATAGAATAGGAATGGAATAGAAATAGGATGGGAATGGGAATAGAATAGGAATAGGAATGGGAATAGAATAGGAATGGAATAGAAATAGGATGGGAATGGGAATAGAATAGGAATAGGAATGGNTTGGCCCATAACACACCTGACATAACAATAGTTGAAAAGGAAAAAGTATGATTGATATTGCAATACCTGGTGATGCACGAATTGAAGATAAACAGCAAGAAAAAAATCACAAAATATTGGGACTTGCCAATTGAGGTTGAGCGACTGTGGAAAAAGAAATCATGTGTTGTCCCAATTGTAATTGGAGCCCTTGGAGCAATACCTAAAGGACTACCTCGCTATTTGAAAATTCTTCTTGTTGCTTCTTGTTCTACCCTCAGGTGCTAACTGAGAGTCTGCAGGAAGGGTCATGTTGACCCTTTGTAGTGTAAAATGACTTAAAGAATGACTTAGGAGGTGGGGCTTCTTCTTAGGCTTGCAATGTTTAGGGACTATAAAATGTATAGCTTGAAAACTGCTTTTTGCTCTCCTTGTACTCAATCCATTTGGGAAGGGTGTAGGAGGCTGCGCTTGCAACCGCTTTTTCATTTTCCTTCAATAAACCTTTGAATTGTTAACCAGACTTGTTTCTCTATTGTGAGGATTAAACTATTTGGGTTTTACATCCCACAGTTGGTTTTTGAGCTCTTTGTGGCTCTGTGAGTTTCCTACTTGTGGCAGGGATCCTTTTGTGTGAAGTGCAGCTGCTTCTGCATTTTGTGTGAGCCAGTTGTGTTGCTTTTGTGTTGTTTTTGTGTTTTGTGTGCTTTTGCATTGCTCCCATCACTAGTCCTCAGCTAACAAAGCACTTTTTTTTTCCCTTTTACAGTAGCAGCCTTTACCAGCAAGGATGAAAAGGCCACGAACTTTAGTCGGTTTCTTGGTCAAGAAACCAAAACTGTCACAACAACCATCAGAATTGACCTTGGATGATCCAAAAGCATCCAAAGCGCCACAAGCACCAATGAGAAATCAATGTGGAAACATCTTAAAGTGAAAGACAACTAACACTTTTATGTAAGTAT